GCTTTTGGGAGGCCCGGCCGTCGATGGGAGGCATAGTTAGTGGTGGGAGTCGTCGGCCTCTTGTTGCGAGGCGTGGTGAAGTGTAACGGCCACGGTCTGTCCCGTGGCCTGGGGATCGGAGGCCCAGCCGGCGACACAGCGACGGGTGAGCGCCTCTCGCTGGCGGTGGCAGGTTATGACAGGGCCTCCGACTGGGCATGACCAACACGGCCATGAGTCGGCGCTAGGAGCCCAGGACAGTTTTGGAAATGATGGCGTTAGTCTTTGGTGTGTGCCGGAGTAACGCTACCAGGGCAGTGGTGATTTAGTAGTTTAATGTTTAACCTGGGACGTCGTCATTTTCCCTACTTCAGTTGTACATGAGCCCGTCCTCAGATCAGTTTGACAGGTGATATAATACATTGTTTTATGATGAAGCGGAGCATCGGAGCTTTGCGCACACCGCTTTCGTTTGCGGACCTGGATGTGTTGTGTGTGGAGAAAGGGAGAGTATGCAAAAGGCGCCTGAAACACGAGCTCAAATAGCTTGCACATGATGTAAGCCAATTGGTAACTTTATAAATATAATAATGCATGATGTAGGCTAAATGACGACTGAAATTATAAAACCCCATCCACTTTAGTTATTGGCCAGAGCTCAACGCTGAGGGCGAACTTTGAAGGTCATCACAATAGTGATCTCTTAAATGTGACTCGCTCAAGTAATGTAATCAAGTAACAAAATGTAACTGTGACTCGCACAGGCTTGTGCTTGAAGACGTAGTCATATTCACGGCTGGTGGGTAAAAGAGGCTGTATTAGCCTTCTCACATCCGCACGAACGTCGTCTGTTGGATGGTAGCTTAGAAAATTTGTATGTTCGGACATAATTGATGTCGCATTGCATTGCGTTTTTCTAAGTGATATCGAACCACGACGAAGTAATTCGTTCCCATTCGCTCCATTCAGTCATATGTTTGGAGCGAATGTACATATGTGAATAGCGTGCTTGTCATATGCTGCTTGCAGATGGGTGTCGCAAAATATAAGTTAGTAGTGGGTCGTTGAGTCATGTGCCCCATCTCCGCGTAACCAGTATCAATCTGCGAACATTTTCTGGAAGAGAGGAATGGAATTATGATTGGGATCAATAGTCGCCATTTCAAAATGAGTGGAGAGGAGAAGGGCGCAATCATGATGGGGGCCAGCAGTTGCTAACCCTTATTATGACGTCACCAAAAGTCCTTCGCTGCTTTCGGCGTTAGACATGACCCCTATAGGAATGACTTACATGCATTGTAATATAAATTAAGCAGTGAAGCAAACCAAGTGCTCCCGACTGAAAACACAATGGAGGAGAGCATGTCCAGATGCGTGATCGTCCGAGTATTCCCATTTGCCCCGTTTGTTTCGTTCCCAGAGACTGGATCACTGAGCTCATCCGATCGATCACAATTTGGGGCCACTGAATCCATCATGATCTTTGATGTTAGCTGGGCTAGCTATACGCTTTAAAGGGATCGGGCTGCCGGGAAAGGTTTTCAATTCATTTTTCGGAATAATGTAAAAAGTTGCGTTCTCAGTGCATAGCTTCTCAGCCCCAGCAGACGCAGAATAGCGGAAGCATGACCAGTTTCAATTTTATCGTGTAGCTGACGGCGCCGAAGTCCTGCTACCTGAAGCGTCGTCACACTGAGGATAATACTGAGTAGTACTGGCTACCATTGGACCCACGTAAAGTCTAAGCGTTTGCAGATGACTGCCAAAAGAACCCGCATAAATCGACGTGGGATTTGGCACAACCTTCCCAGCAATAAACTAGAGCAACACTTCCAGCGGGTCCAGACCTTTAGGTGATATCGAACATGATGGCGACCGTGGTGTGATGGGATGCCACCTGATCCTGCGACCGTTCGTACCCTTACACAGGGAACGGAATAAAAAGGGTTTTGATCTATCCGATTTGTGGTTTGTCGTTCGTGTAAAGATCCTTTCCTTTAAAGAAGACAAGATAGGCTTCACAAGTGAACGCAGGGCCGCTTGAGTGTTCCGTGAGAGCCGCAACACTACTGCCCAGTACAGGGCATTTGTCTTTGTGAGAAGAGAGCGATTGCTTTGCTGTGTAATGGAATAAGTCGAATAGTAAGCGCATTACTGCAGATATTTGCCGGCACCGAACGTTGATAGAAAGGCCTCACGCATATGTCGATAAGTCACTTGCGGTCTACTTCCCGGTCTCAGATGGGGCTGCACGACGTTTCATGATATACGTTTGCATGCTCGCGCGCGCGCGGAGCGAAGACGAGCCGAGCGCCCACTCTGGGATCGACTTTCGCCGTCGGTCGCTTTCCGACCGATTACGGTGTGTGTGGCCGCCGGCGCGTGGCGGCCGGCCGGTGACACGCGCCTCGGACAGTGCGCCGCTCCGGTGACGCTGCCCGCGGCCGCACTGGGCGGAGCCGGCCAGCGGGAGCGGTCGGCGGAGGAGCAGGGACGGACCAGCCAGAGCGGCCGGTCGAGGAGCAGGGACAGACCGCTCCGGGCGGAGCCGGCCAGCGGGAGCGGTCGGCCGAGGAGCAGGGACGGGCCAGCCGGAGCGGCCAGCCTGCCCCTGCTTCCCCGGCCGGCCGAGGAGCAGGGACAGACCGCTCCGGGCGGAGCCGGTCAGCCGGGGCGGCCAGCCTGCCCCTGCTTCCCCGGCCGGCCGAGGAGCAGGGGCAGCAGGCACCGTCCGGCCGTCGATGTGCCAGCGGCGGGAGTGGGCAGATGTGACCGGTGGCTCCGAGGACGGGCCTGGCGACCCCGCCCCCGGCCGGCCTGCTGCTCGGGCCTGCTGACCCCGGGCGATCACCGGCTGGCTGGGGTTCTGCTCAGCCGCCGTCCCGCCGGAACAATGACCAATTTCTTCCGGATCACGTCCGGCTTCGGAACACGGAGCAGGCAGGCGATCGAACACGGACATTGGGGCTGGTTTCACTTGGGGCCCGCCGGTCGTCAGCTCTTACCGATTAAACGGACACGTGTCATGCTCACAAACAGTGCCTCCGCGGCGGCATGCCGGTGCTTATTGGTTCTTAGTAAAGGAAAAATGGAATTTCACCTTTCAACTCCCGCCTTCGCCTGCATGCATTCAAGTTCCATTGTTAGACACCGGTGATTGCTCTTGAGTGATACTCTCTCTCTCTCTTTCTCTAAGTCAGTCTTCTTTGGTGTATGCAGTAGTATTGGGAACGTGTCTAAATATCCTTGGGTTTAAGGGATTGTATCAGTTTAATTTTGGGCGCAATCACGTGTGGGTGGAAATACCGGACAATCATTTATGCATCTAGGCTAAAATCGAAACAAGTGGACTTATACTGTGCACCACGAAAATATGATCACATGCGTAATTGACTCGGAACATGCGTTGTGCTACTTTTTTGCCAGGATATGCTAAGCTGGAGACGAATGACACCCATGAGTTGATGTGCACGATTGTAAAGCTCAAAATATTTAACACCTCTAAATTTCCAACGATTTCGTTGAAACTTTCCGGTGAGTTTGTAGCGCTGAACGCAGTGAGCGTGGTGCTCCTTCAACAAAACCGAGCCGGCACTCATCGGTAATCAGTGCAATGCAAACCGGTTTACGATGCGTTATGACGATTTCATGATAGTAAAAGTTAATAGTCACAAGGGTTTCGTAGCAACGTTCGACACTATGAAACGATACTCGATGAAATCGAGGGGTTTTGTAGGGATGATCTGTACGTTGTGTGGCTGTTATGTGGGATAAAATCCTAAAAAGAGCGCTGACATGGGTTATGTGGCCTATGGGGTTCTTCTTCTGCGGTCAGTTGGTGACTGTCCAAGAGAGACAGGCCGGAGCGAGAGCAGTTGCATTACTGCTTTGCATGGCACGTAAATTGTTTAGGCAAAACTTTTAACATGGCCTATGCTTCCAAAACCGCCCCAGAAACTATTCAGCGAAATCAGTCATTGAAAAGGAGACACTTCCGGGCTAGGCGCCCAAAAATATGTTGTGGTGTAGCATGAATGGCGGTTAAAACTTCGGGCTTTTCTTATACATGGCGTATCTTGCTATCGCCACAAATTCACTTTTGAATGAAGTCATCTAGTGTTATCAAGGGGGCTGGACGGGGTGTAAACGTTGTGCGACCATGACAAGGGACTCTGTGCCGCTTGAGGGGATGAAGGCCATGCCGTGAGTGTAGTCTTTGTAGTGAGTAGTTTATGCGTTTTATCGGAGACCGGGCCATTGCTACTCAGAAACTCAATGAAAATAACAAGTTAGCTATAGAAAAATAACTGTGATAGTAAAAAGCTGTCTCTAAAGAGAAACATGGAGTCACCATCCCCGCCCCACGGAGCCAGTTATAGTGAGGTTTTGCTACTGTTCCTTTTTCTGACGTACCATGTCAGCTTCGAATATGGGACCCGCGGGAGCGCAACGCCAACGGCATGATGCACTATCTGCGGGCGTATTTTTCAGTCTTCGATCTTTCACAAAAAAGAATCCCGATTTTCCAGAAACGTAAGCCGTCACTTTAAAAAAAGAGGGGTGCGGTGGCAAAGATCGTGATAATCAAGATTGCTTGGTTGGCGTGTGCATTTTGTGTTATTTATCAAACATTCCCGCAAGGTTGAACAAGCTCATTGTAGTTTTTTAAACACCTGCCTTGTGCTCTGGATCCTGTTCGGTTGTCGTTAAGTGTTTCCACATTTTATGGTTCCCAACGTCCTCCATTACTACGCCTTGGTATGGTGTCAATTATGGCGTTCGTATAATGTAAGCGCTCAGTCAATTCACCCAATGTGGAAACGGGTCAGGAAAAGCGGCATGGTTTGTGGAAGCAGATGTACAACAATCAAACATCTCTCCGAAATTCGCCGCGCTGTAACCTGACAATTAAAGCTCATAGCAGTTACCTGGGCGCGCGGCTGCGCCTTGCGCGGGTGTTCAGCGAGCATGTGCAGCAGGGGAAAAACCAACGCATGACTAGTACCTCCGCTTGTCGACAGGTGTCGCACCATCCTCCGATGGTGGCCCAGCACTGCGACGGCCCCGGCTGGGAGTGCTACCAGGAGTTCACCATGTCGTCCAAGTTCCGCGGCAAATACCTGCAGGTCATCCCGCTGGGCATTTCACACCTGCACTTCCCGAAGACAGGTGGGGGCGCTGCAGGCTTCGGCCGAGAGATGGCGCCGCGGTAGCCGGCCTGGCGGCAGCTGCCGGCTGGTCACAGACGCGCCGACTGGAGGCGGGTCTGGGACCGGAGCCTCGATGTCGTCAGCATATGTTGAACCTCGCGTCATCACCGCCCGCCAGGTCCGCGGGGTACCGCTGATTGATCCGCGCGGCTGTTTATCGCTCCCCGTCTGTTTTTTTTTCTGGCCGTGGGTGGCGGGTCTGCGCAGCGGAAAGTTTTCCGAGAGTCGGAGCGACTGCACGTCGTCCGGTACTGTGCGGCCAACGAGTCGGTCCGCGGGCGGCCACAGTCCGTCGACGGACCGGCGCACCAGACAGGCCTTACCTCGCGTGCGACGCCACACCGTGTCATGGCCTGCTCTGTTATCCCACTCGACCTGCTGCGGTTATTCGCACGCTCGCGGTTTTCGACCGAGGGTCAGAATTCTGTCGAGTGCCGTTCGCGTGCGTACCTCCGCCTGATGGGCCCCCTCTCACAACTCGGCTATTGATACGCGGGACACGTCTGTAGCCCTCTCTCACCGCGCGGGCCGCGCGTTGTGCGTCGACAGGCAACCACTTCACGTGGCGCAAGGTGACCACGACCGTGCACAACATCATCGTCGGTCGACTGTGGGTGGACCAGCACGGCGACATGGAGATCGTCAACCACAAGACGGGCGACAAGTGCAACCTCAAGTACGTCCCGTACAGCTACTTCTCGCGGGACGTGCTGAGGAAGGTGAGTCGTGGCGCCGCCGGGGCGCGAGCGCGGCGACGGTCGGCGTGACGGGGACAGTGCGGTGTGCTGTGGTCTTGGGATCGGCGTTATGCGGCGTCGGTCAGCTGTAGGGCGGTGGTGAACTCGTGGTGCGCTGTTTGGTGATGTTTGACCCGACATCAGTTGTGTGACGTTTCGCTTGTTTTTGTCCCGTGTGAGAGTGGTGTTCGTCGAGTGGTTTGTCAGCGGCGTTGTTGTGAATCAGAAGTGTTTGACTGCCGCGACAGCCTGCGATTGATTTCAGTATTGAGCATTATGTTTCATTTCCTATGGATATGTATCAATGAATATGTGGCTTACAGACCATCAGGAAGTCACTCAATGTCGCCTCTTCATATCCCTTGGGCGGAGTCGCGTGTGACTATGTCTGCGCGGAGACACGCGTGATGTGCGCAGCGGCTCGCTGCCGCCGCTACGGTCACTGACGCCTCTCCGGCCGGGCGGCGGCGCCCTCTCCAGGTGACGGGCTGCGTGTCGGACGCCAACGGCCAGGTCCGGTGGGTGCTGATGGGCACCTGGGACCAGAAGATGGAGTGCTGCAAGGTGCTCAACTCCAACACGTCCGTCAAGGGCAAGCCGGTCATCGAGACCGGGCCGCCGCGCATGCTCTGGAAGGCCAACACCTTGCCGTGAGTGCCGCCTCTGGAGCCGGCTGCCGCCACCTGTTCCGCCCGACGGGCGCCATCTGGCGGCCAGGGCTGAAGCTGTCGCGTGCGGGCAGCATCGCTCAGGGATAGCCTGTCCTGGTTGGCGTGGTGCCACCTCCCGGGACGCCTGCCGCGCACCTCACTCTGAATATAGGCGGCTGGGATAGCCATATGGCAGTAGGTTTAGTGGGTATTGTCGCCATGTCCACAGCTCGTATCTGGCAAATGCGCTTGTTTGATGTGATGTGAAGAATACATGGTGCGTCGTTTCTTAATCCGACTGAGTCTACCGAACATAGCTATTTTTTGATAAATTATGTGAGATTTGCGCCACTTTATCCTAGCCATGACATTTTTCTTTATGTCTGGCGTTAATGGTAGGACCAGGCCAGGCGAACATGATATTACAATATCGGAATCATGTCTGCCATTCTGCATACGATGGGGCCATGAAGATGCATTTCAGAAGCAGAATTTTCGGCTCGGGCAGAAGTTATTTTGGGAGCTTCTTTTGATGGGCTCTATAAATCGTCCTTTCAATTTGATGACCGTCGGTCGTGGCTGCACGTTCTGCTCGCCAATAGCGCGTCTCACAGGTACGGCGGGCGGGTGGCGCACCGCGCCGCGCTCGCCACATGACGGGCGCTCGGTTGCAGGTCGGATGCAGAGAAGTACTACAACTTCAGCCAGCTGGCGATGGAGCTGAACGAGCCGGAGGAGAACGTGTCTCCGACGGACTGCCGGCTGCGGCCCGACCAGCGGCTCATGGAGCAGGCGCTCTGGGACGAGGCCAACGAAGAGAAAGTCAGGTGCGCTGACCGGCAGCGGCCGGCTCGGGGCAGCCGGGGACGCGCCGCGCCCGCCGGCTGACGGGCCGGGCCGGTGGCAGACGGCGTCCCTGCCGTCACCGTGGCGGCGCGGCTCCTGCCGGTGGACGAGATGGAAGAGGGCCACGGAGGTGCTGCGCTCACAGCTTCAGACTCATCTCTGCGAGGGCTGCATAGAGCTCCGAACAGCGGCTCAGCAGGACTAGTGGCCTCTGCCAGGAAGGCTCCGGCCAGTAGCGCTGCTTCAGTTGCTGAGAGCGTTTTCGTCAGACTTTCTAGACAGATTCAGAGATGGCTATGTCTATGTCACACACGACCACTTGACTCCTGCTGAACACGGACCAGTAACCAGTTGGCTTTTCTGATTGGTAACCGCCATGCCACTCGGGCTCGTCGTGGTGTGCCACCGTCGTTTTCATGTTTCCATTTCCAACTGGTTTCTGTCTTAGCCGTGTTGCTCTGTTTTTCTGACGTGATCAGGGTATGGGGCACACATATGTGTAGTGCCACCGTGACCGGTCTGGGCTGTTTGGCTTGCCGCAGAGCTAATTCACCTACTGCAGGACAAACGAAGGTCGCACCGGGTGCCCGAGCTTGTCTGTCGATGTCCGGAGCGGTGCGTGGCTCACGGTGCCCGGTGACGTTTGCATCGGTGTGTGACGTCACCAGTGGTATCTGTAACGGTGCGTGGCTCGCGATGCTCAGTGACGTTTGCAGCGGCGTGTGACATCACTGGCGGTGTCTGCAGCGGTGCGTGGCTCACGGTGCCCGGTGACGTTTGCAGCGGTGTGTGACGTCACCAGTGGTATCTGTAACGGTGCGTGGCTCGCGGTGCCCGGTGACGTTTGCAGCGGCGTGTGACGTCACTGGCGGTGTCTGCAGCGGTGCGTGGCCCACTGTGCTCGGTGACGTTTGCAGCGGTGTGTAACGTCACTGGTGCCCGGTGGTGTTCCGTGCGATTCGTGAAGTCCGTGCCTGTCGGCGTGAGGAGCGTTGTGTGACGTCACTGGTGCCGTTCGGCGTCGGGAGCGCCGCGTGGCATCAGTGGTGTGCGGTCTGTTGCCAGGCTGGAGGAGAAGCAGCGGGCGGCGCGGCGGCGGAGAGAGGCAGAGGCGGAGGCGGCAGCTGCCGAGGGTACGTCATCAGCCGATGGTAATATCTCGACCCACGCGGCCACAGGGAGAACCACTCTGGCTGGCGTGCGCTACTAACTAGCTTAGACAGAGGAGCTTATTTTGTCGGGCAATGTGTTGACGTTTGAGAAAGCGGCTTGGCACGCATGCTGAAGTAGGGAGGTGCATAGTGTGGGGGAAGCAGTCGAAAGGTTAGGTGTGCGATGCTGGCATGCATACAGGGACAATGCAATATGTTCACATCGTGTTCCCCATTTAACGTTTTGCTTCAGTCTGGAATGACCTGTGACCTTTTGCTACCTGGTCTTTTGTTGGTGGCGTCCACCATGTTGGTTATATGGTACGCTCTATCTGGTCTTTTGTTGGTGGCGTCCATCATGTTGGTGATATGGTACGCATTATGTGGTCTTTTGTTGGTGGCGTCCACCATGTTGGTTATATGGTACGCACTATCTGGCCTTTTGTTGGTGGCGTCCACCATGTTGGTGATATGGTACGCACTATCTGGTCTTTTGTTGGTGACGTCCACCGTGGGGGTGCGATGGCCGAGTGGATAGTGCCTTGGGCTTCCATTGGGGACCCAGGCTCGAATTCCAGTCGCGCCATGGCCCCTGAGCGCTGGTATGGATGTCACGGGCGCTCCATAAAAGGAACGTGACGGCGTGCGTTGCGTTCCTTTAACATAAAACTTGGCTAGCTTGCATGTTCGTGCTAATCGAAATGTGTCGGAATGAAATAACTTCCAATATTATTATTGCTGCCAACGCTGATGTAAATCGGTGCTAATGAACGTATCATGCGGAGGGAATGGAACCAAAATTCTTCGCTCGTCATTCCAACAAGTTTAGCAATTTGCGTTGGGTCTGTTCAGGTAGAAATATCGATTGAATGACGATATTGATTGCCTACGATCTGCTGGAAGGACGTGTGAGCGCTGCGCCCTGACGGTACTGCCCAGCGGCGATGGTGCCCGCTTGTAGCTGCGTGCTAACAGCGTCATGCCCGTTTGTGGCTGCGTGCTAACAGCGTCATGCCGCCGCCAGGCGTCGAGTACAAGGGGTACACACCATCGTGGTTCCGCAAGGAGCTGGACCCGTACACCAATCAGTACACGCACATGTACACGCGTGACTACTGGGACTGCAAGGAGAAGCAGGACTGGTCGCGCTGCCCGGACATCTTCTAAGCGGCGGTGCCCGCCCGATTCCCCGGCTGGCGCGCGTGGCCGCCGCCGCCCTGTGATCTGCGGGGCGCGAGCCCGCTCGTGCGCGCCCGAGGGACGACTGGTCTTCCGGCGTGGCGGCGGCGCAGCGCCTGTGCCGCGGCGCCGGCCACGCCCCGGCACGAGACCAGGCGCCGGCCGATCATGTCCGCAGCCGAACGGCCGGGCCGTGCACGAGTGTGATTGCTAGCACGACGTGTCCCGGCCTCTGTGCGTGCGGCGTGTCTTTCTGGGTGTGTTTTGTCGCGAGACGCTGGCTGCGCGCCACCGTCCAGTCGAGCATTCCCCTGTCCCTTCCGCGGCGATGTGGCGTGGTCCGCGGCGGACGCGCCGGCCGGCACCGAGCCGGCCGGCCGACCCAGCCAGGCTGGGCCGGCGGAGCACCGCTGCCGGTGAGAGGTCGTCGCGTGCGCTGCCCGTGGCGCGGGCCGGTCTTCCGCCGACCGGCGCCGCTGGCACGGCCTGGGCCTGAGGGGTGTCGCGGTCGGGTCGGCGGCCGGAGGTGGGCCGCGTGCGGAGCAGGCCGCAGCCGCGCGACGTTTTATCAGAAGGGACGCAGTCCCACCCCGCCCGTAGGCATAGTGCCCCCGGCTGGTGCTGGCCGAGGTAGCCACGCGCCTTGTGTGTGTTGGGCGACGGTGTGTGCATTGCCTTGGCGCGCGGGCGGCTGCCGGGCCAGGCCGATCAGTGGCTGCGGGGGCCCGGCGACGCTGCGGAGCGCGCAATATTAACGCTTGGTGATTGTGATGGGCGTGGGGAGGCCGGACAGGCCGGACGGGCCGGACAGGCCGGTCAGGCCGGGCCGGGCCAGGCCGGGCTGGGCCAGGCTGAGTGCAGCGCTGTAGGCTGCTGGGGTTTACAATATAATCTTGTATTTATGTGTGCTGCGGTGGCCGCCGAGCCGGCGGGGCCGCCGGCCGCCGGCCGCCAGCCGCCAGCTCGGTGCTGTCGCCGATCATCGCTGTGTCGTGCTGCCGTAGACTGTAGGGCGCTGCTGGGGAGCCGGCGCGCACCCTGTCTGGGAGCGGCTGCTGGCGGCGTGGACGGCCGGGCCGACGGTGGCCGCCATAGAACGCGCGGTGCGGTGTATCGGTCGGCCCCTCACGCGTGCTCGACTCCAAATATATCCACCCAGGTGAAGACCCGCGTCGTTTGTCGTGATGGGTGCCGAGCCCTGCTCAGCAACACACGGCTGGGTTGTGGGGCCGCTATGAGGACGGAAGAGACTGCGCTGCGGGTCAGTTTTTGTTTCTTCCTGTGGTTGATGGTACGTCACACTTACGACGCCGTAATGAGTGCAAGGACCAGGAAATGACCACCCAGGGCAACACCGATTATTCCACGCTTTCAAAAGCGATCTGAATGAGGTGTGGTTTTCACCTTAATGACTTACATTGCGTAAGGGCCAGAGAAAAGAGGCCAAGAGTGGCACATCTCCTATGCTGATATTTCCGATACGAATATCTGGGTCCCGTGTATTCAAGCACAAACGAAGTTCCAGGTATGGACGCCAGCCCATAGGACGCTCCAGCGTCGGGGGTGCTGGGAAATTAATCCGAGCGCTGTCCAAACCCGAACCTGCGATGACAGTGCATGTGCAGGTAGACGCCGCATTCAATATCAGCGTTGAAATCCCGGCGCAGTCAGCCCGTCGCTCTTCTGACGTCACAGCTCGGTGGAAGCGTGGCTGTGGCGGCTGCAGTGAGGACGGACCCCCTGGTGGACCGGTGTAAGGTTGCATGTACTCGGCGTCGATTGCGAGCACCATTCTCGTGCAATTATTTTTGAATATCGTTGAGATAACACCGTAGCGTTACTCCATAAACCGCATTCGCGGTCATACGAGCACCCGGCTGTCCCCCAGAAGAGGGACTGGCACCTGCCGCCGCCCAGTGACAGGTTCCGCGATGCCAGGTTGGCGTCCACACGTGCCACGAGCTGGACACGCGCACGCGCCGCCGTTTCGCCCGTCAGCTGGGTGGTTGCGGGCGGCGCTGCCAGCAGGAGCGTGGCAGCCGCCAGCAGCGCCGCGACGACTCTGGCCGATGCTGCCAACAGGGGCGACACTGTCCGGGACAGGGAGAGAGGGGCGGTCCGCCGAGGTCGCCGGGCCACCGCCATCGCTGTATGTCCGAGGGAGCCATCACCGTCGCCATCACCATCACGCCGTCGCCATCACCGTCCGGGACAGGGAGGGAGCGGCGGTCCCCTGAGGTTGCCGGCTCACCGCCGTCGCTGTAGGTCCGACCGACAGAGAGGGAGCCATCACTGTCGCGCCGTCGTCACCGTTATACGGGACAGGGAGGGAGCGGCGGCCTGCCGGTGTCGCCGGTGCACCGCCATCACTGCCAGTGCCTGCCGTCGGACTGTTGTGAGAGCAGGTCAGGTCGCAGCCCTGAGGGTGAGAGGCGGCCTCTCTGCGTCACTGCATGACAGCACTACAGCCATGACAGGCACCTCCAGGTCCACTGACAGTTCTCGGGTGCAATAAGACAGAATAACGTGGCGCGGGCGTCGGACAGTTGACCAGGGCAGAGTGAGACGGCAGGGCTGGGAGATCCAAACAGGCGGGCGACACGGCCGGGCATGGGCCGGGGTTCAACATGGGATGCACGTCCATGAAGCGTAAGACATGATACATACCGAGTTAGAGATCGTTCTCCTTCATGCTCTCAGTGCTCAAGAAAACGCTCGGACGGCAAACCCCTCAAGAGGCTCGAGCTAAGCACCAGACAGCGTGCCGTTTCAGTGCAACACGTGTACATGGCTGACAGATAATCCACCACGCTCCAGCGCCAGGAACATTAGTTTTGCACCGCTTTCTGCTCACCACCGGAATGCTTCTTTCAACTGTCTCTGATTTATCTCTCACATTTAATCTGCGCTGCTCCCGGGGCTTCCTCCATGCAATGCTCTATAAAGAACAGTAGGCAGCGGCTAACGGCTAACTCCGCTGACATTGGCACTCGCGCCTTGCTTGCGGCTTTCGCCACGGTGTAACTCAACCCTGGACACACCGCGAGGACATGACCTAACCACGTTCAGCGCACAAAACGTACGCCTTTCGCTACTTCTGCAGCTGTACGGAAAGCAGCAGTGAAGTTTCCTGTTGAGCTTGGAGCAGCCTCCCAACTTCGATAAGAAAGTGGGCCAAATCCGGGGTGAAACCCGTTTTGAGACGCATTTTCGAGGTAGGTTTAGCGACTCTGTGTGTGTGTGTGTGTGTGTGTGTGTGTGTGTGTGTGTGTGTGTGTGTGTGTGTGTGTGTGTGTGTGTGTGTGTGTGTGTGTGTGTGTGTGTGTGTGTGTGTGTGTGTGTGTGTGTGTGTGTGTGTGTGTGTGCGTGCGTGCGTGCGTGCGTGCGTGCGTGCGTGTGTGCGTGTGTGTGTGTGTGTGTGTGTGTTTGTGTGTTACACGGAGTAGCTGCCCCATCCTCCGGTATGTCGTGTATCCGCGCATGAATTTTTGGTAGCTTATGGGGCATCTATTGCGCGTGTTTTGACAAAAAGTGCCCCCTAGCGTTTGTGGTTTCGGAGCAGGGGCGGTCTTAGAAGGATAGTACCTGCTCCATTTAGCCAAACTGTGTATTGTAAGCACCACAGAGCAGATACGCTGGCAAAAGGCAAAGCAAATAAATGTTATTACTTTCACGGTGATGAGCAAGGAGTCCAATGAGCCTTCCCCGCCGAAGCGGCTGCTTCAGATAAGAATTGTGAGCTATTCAGAAGGATTTCGAGAAAACGCGGTATTACCGATCTAATTGGACGCTTGTGATCTAACAAGAGGTGAAAGTACAAAAGGTGGCATGCTCCCTTCGATGCAAGCCGTTTGGCCTACACTTCGTATGTTCACGTCACGACACGTGGGTCCTCAGTAGACTGTTAGTGTTTTGTAACGCCTCACTTGTGCGGGCGCTCGCCGAAGAACGTGACAAGCTGCAGCATGGCCGGCGCGGGGACGCCAGGGTCTGGGCCGGCACCGTGCATGTGAGGTCGCCACACTGGCTGCTCATCGCATGTCGTAAAATGCGCATCAGTGGAGCGCGTTGCATTTGGTGCAATCACTCCAAGAATACATGAGGCAATTTGTGACCCAGTAATTTATGAATGAAGCTCATAATAGGCCTCATACAAATTGAATAATTCATCAAATCTGATGTCCAACTGCATCTTTGTCGTGCTTATAACACTTCCACAATGCTTCGAGTCATATGAAGCGGAACAAGATCAATGTATCGCCCTGATATCGTTAGCTTAATGGTTTTAGAGTTACTATGCTAAGCACTATTCTAATACATGCTAGGTGATCGCTGATGGTCAGCGCAGTTATCCTACAAGGACGGAGAAGACCCAAGAGGTATCAAAGTGAGAAGAGTAACCCATCTAAGCTCCAAGACGCCAAATGTCTCGAGTGCGCGGAAGAGGTGTAGAGGTGTAGAGGTGTAGTGTAGAGGTGTAGAGGTGTAGTGTAGAGATCTTCTCGTGCGGAAGAGGTGCAGAGACCGTTACCGCGATTGCCGGCATAGCTCAGTCAGGAATCCCATGGTATTCTATCATTTTGGCGTGATGGTCTGTAACAACGAACAACGTCCCCCACTTCGCTCTTGTGCAGGTTCAATTCAGTTTGTGGGAATCGCCGGGAGGTACCAGTTTTCTCAAGGTTCGCTGCGTGATGGAGAATCGATTGCGGACTGTTTGGCTGACTTGAAAAAAAATCGCTAGGAACGCAAACTTCAGAACCCATTTCTAGGTGGATAAACTGGTGTGTGGATTGAATAATTCTCACGGCCGAAATAAGTTGCTGTGCATGGCGTCATTGACTCTGGATACCGCTGTTCAGTGCTCTGCTAGCGACGGCCACGCTCCTGCTGGCAGCGGCGCCCGCAGCCACCCAGCTGAAGAGCGAGTCGGCGGCACGTGCGCACGTCCAGCTCGTGGCACGTGTGGGCGCTGTCCTGGCATTGTGGAACCTGTCGCGTCCGGAGGGACGCGAGTGTCGGTCGACCACGCGTGAGCTCGCCGCTTGCTCGTGCGACACCGACCGCGCACTGTATGGAGAGTGCGCTCTGGAA